GTAGTTGGTTGAAGGCCTCCCCGGCACTTTCTGGAATTCTTGGCAGACTTTACACTTCTTCACAAACTCTGCGCAATCCTTGACTATCGTCGGCCAAAAATATCCTTGGAGGGTTATCTTCCTTGACACCGTGTAAGCCCCCTGGTGGGCGGAGCAAATCCCGGCGTGCACTTCCTCCATAACCTGCTTTGCTTCAGTTAGTCTAAGGCACCTGAGTAGCGTCCCGTTGTACGCTCGCTTGTATAGCTTCTCGCCTTCCAACGTGTATCCCGGTGCCCTCGTTCGGACCAGCTTGGCCTTCACCGCGTCGTCTGGGAGGGTGCCATCCTTTAGGAAGGCAACTATGTCGTCCGTCCAATCTTTGGGCCGAGCAAAGATCATTGCCACGGGGAAGGCATGGATGCTCGGCTCGGACAGCTCTTCCACATTCGCCATCCGCCTGATGTGCTCGGGCGTGTCCGAGCTTAGTTTTGACAAGATATCCGCCTCCGCGTTCTCCGCTCGGGGGATCTGCTCGACGCTGTATGCGGTGAAGCTCTTAAGGAGTTCCAAAGCCGTATCTCTGTATTTCTTCATTCTGTTGTCCTTCGCCTCGAACTCCCCCGAGACATGGCCAACCACCAACTTCGAATCGCACTTTATTCTTAGTTTCGTCGCATTCATCCTGGCTGCTAGGCGTAGCCCGCACAAGAGCGCTTCGTATTCCGCCTCATTATTCGATGCTTTGAAGCCAAAATGAATTGAATAGTACGCTCTGAAACCTTCGGGTGCGATGACCACCACTCCACCCCCCGAGTTTTTGGCGGCGGAGGAGCCGTCGGTAAAAACTGTCCACCAGTCATCGGTTTCAAGTTCCGGGCTCGGCTCTTCCCGAGCGGTGCATTCCACCACGAAGTCGGCCAGCGCTTGCCCCTTGATCGCCGGCCTTGGCTTGAACTTGATCTGGAAGGCTCCCAGGAATACTGCCCACTTAGACATGCGAGAGGGCGCGTTCGGGCTCCTGAGTAGCGCGCCTATGGGCTGCTGGGAGAGCACCTGAACCGGGTGAGCTTGGAAGTAAGGCGTCAATCGCTGCACGGTTGATACTACCGCTAGGACCGTCTTTTCGGCCACGGAGTACCTGAGCTCGGCACCCCTCAACGTCTTAGCCGTGTAGTATACCGGGTGTTGAGCTCCGCCACCTTCTCGGACTAGGACCGAG